CTTCTCTCGGCAGAGTTTCCTTCACAACCATTTATCTTCCTGATGATAATGTATTCATTTAAGATAATAGCAGCTATTGTTATTTGTTTGCTGTGGCAGCCAAACCAACACAGTTACAGAGAGAGAGAGATACAGGATCATTTTCCTCATGAATAATTATGTTGAAGCTAATTGATAATTACACAGGCAGTAATGGCTTTGAAGGCTAATTGCCTGATGTCGCACAGAAATGCTCATTATGATGCAACCGTTTCAGTGAGTGTGTAAGAACATGAATAATGGGATTTACTCTGAAATAAAATTCACAGTTAATCATGCCTTATGTAGGTCAGACACACTGAGACACTTTTACCAGCAAATTCTTACTACATACGGTATCTTTCAGACGTTTAGCAAAATATATTTGTAGTCTAGAGTTGACAAAATATACCTATATAATAATTCAACTAAACCCATCAACAGTTTTAAATATAGACTTTAGTTTAAATCAGTAAACATATGTATCAATATATTAAACAGTCCCAAAAATCAATCTTTAATTTTTTTAGTAAATATAGTAGCAAGAATTAGAAAAGAGTAAGTAAATGTTATTCAAAAGATGAAATATCAAATATTAAGCATGAAAACACAATTTAATTTCAAATTTTTATATTTTGTAGTCATAACATTTTTGACTAACCTTCACCAGTGTTATTATTGATGAAGGTTATAATGAATAAATTATCAGCTAAATTAACCAAATTGTGTGTGTGTGTGTGTGTTTCCGTTGAAGGACAGAGTGAAGAGGCAGGAGATTGAACTCATCAAATTACAGCAGAGGCAGACAATTTAGATTCAATTGCCTTCACCTCACCTGGTGTGTGTATGTGCATGTACAGCTGCCCTATAATGTGTGTGTGTGTGTGCGCGCGCCTGCGTGCGTGCGTGCGCACAGCCATTACTGTCTCTTACCTCCAGTTATTTTGTTCCTGATAGAATATTATATACAGACTGTCGCTGCCCGGCGTTAGACAATTTAATGGAGGGAAAAAGACGGAGTCAGGAAATGATCTTTCTAATCAGACAACAGCAAAGGGTCTCTTTTATTAAAGTGGGGTGCACACCACCACGCACCAATCCCCCCCCCCCCCCCCCCCCCCCCCCCCCGTTCGCGCCGAGCACCACGCGCCGAATAGGCTCCCCCCGC